CCCCCCCCCTCTCTCATCTCTCTCTCTATCTCTATTTCTCTCGTTATTACCGAATTTATTCGTAGCTTGTAAACATAAGAGAGAGAGAGAGAGAAGAAAATGTTTTCTCGCGGAACGAGAGAAATATATAGGCGCGTGATCGATCACATCGGATCGGATCCGTGGAAAACAGGGTTGAAATATCGCGAGTTGCAAAAGTTGAAAAATTGTTACGCGTGGGCGAAAACTGGTACGTCGATAAGTGAAAAATGAATCGTCCGTTTAAATACGTCAATCACGTGTTTAACGCTTTTCAATAATAAGTAATAAGCGCGAGCCGATCGAGTTACAGGGTAGCTGGAAACGTTTGCAAATACGGAAAAAAGCGGGAACGTTGTTCGTTCGTTCCGCGCAAACGTGGTATCAAATTTTATCGATGGATCCGCTTTAATCGAGGAAATATCTCGTAAAACGAAATTAAACGTACGAATATATTTATATATATATATGTGGATATACGAAAGTATCGTCGAAATTGGTTCAATTTTCTCGACCATTCTTATTTTCCCTTTTCGAAAAAAAGGATCGACCGTTTTTTTTTTTCTTTTTATTACATTTTTTAATCTAAAGTAGTAACAAACAACGCGGCTAATCCCTTAAAGCTGCTACGCTTTTAAAAACAATCGCCATACTTTCTTCGTCATTCGAATAGCAAGCTCGCTAATTTCCAACCGGTTTTTCGCCTCAATTTACTTACGCTTCTTGTATTTACATACGCGAGATACAATCCATTGTTGTTTTTAAGCTGAAATATTAAACGAAACGTATAATTAAAAGTCGAGGATTTATTTATCATTGAAACAACTGTATCAGTTTGCGTTCATCTATAATTCCTGGATAATCCTCGTATCGAGAAAATTTGTAGGTAATAGGAAGAAATATTGCTCCGATATCTTTCCAATTACGAAAATATTTTTGCAATCACTAGTAATTTTATATTGAAATACGAAAGAGAGAGAGAGAGAGATCTGATTTTTAGAGATATTCGATTTTTGATCGATCAATTTCTAAACCAAAATTTAATTACGATATTCTATTCGATACTCGTGATTATATTACGCGAAATATATTGTTAACAATCAAAGCTGATTAATAGATAAATCCGGGAATGAACTCAAACATTAATTCCGCGACAATGAGAATTTTAATAGCGAATTAATAATCTAATTGATAATTAAATTCGATCGTTAATTAAACTGATTATTATTATCATTATTATTATTATTATTATTATTATTATTATTATACTCTAAATAATTGCTCAAATATTTCGATCCCGACTAAACAATAGTTTAGCAATAAAATAGGAAAAGGCTTCGATTCGATCAAATCTCTTTCCTTCCGAATCTTCGAACGTCTGCTTCCTCTAATCCCACTTTCCACAATTAACAATCGAACCAAAAGTGAAAATTTCGAGAAGAACAAATCCGAGTAATAATAGATAATGGAAATGATGGGAAACGGCGAATCGAATCATCAATTTCCATTCAACTGATTTATCTCGTTTAAACATCAAAGCGTGGAAAATACTTTCCCAAAAAAATAGATAGAGACACAGATCTCC